CTATGACTCAATTTCTCCTCATGATATCTCTTTCACGAAGACGCTTACAAACGCAGGCGGTGAATGGAGGCGATGGATGAGATAAGGCGAAGAGATCTAGATGAGATAGGTTAGCAAATTGTGCCGTCTATTAGAACCCTAGTTCTCGGGGTCGATACCCTGTCCCCACCGCTGTCCGCTCCTCCCTGTCAATGCTCTTAGCACCTGTAAACAGTTACTGTATCTTCTCATATTATATCCTATGATATAATTATTAATAAATAAAAATGGAGCATTATTTAATGTCATAAGGCATATATAATATTATCCAAAGAGGTCCTGTTGGTCAGTTTTTATTTACAGTTGCAAATCAGATGCTAAAGACAGCAAGAACATCTTATCTGAATCGAACTCTTCATCAGTAAAATGTGTTTTGTTTTTTTCAATTAATTAATAAGAGAAAGACAAAAATTATAATTGAAAGTTTCTACCAACAAACAAAATTAATCTGTAAAATAAAAATAAATATATCATATCCGTCAACGTTTTATCTGTCCTGGCCTACCACATATCTGAAGAATATAGACAGTACATTGAACTTCATCAACCAAACAAAAAAAAAAAAATATATAGATACTGTACTATGAATGACCTAATTAAAAATTAGATACTTGGAATTTCAGGTATCTTTTATTGATCACAATAGCACCCTAACAAGTTTTATTACTTTCCTTAACGAGGAAGAGATGGCCGAGCACGTTGAGGCGTGAATCCCAGATTGCCCGATTCTGAACGTTGTGGGTTCGATTCCCATCTGAATCAGTTAATTCTTGACGGCCCCGAGAAATGGATCTTGATATTCCCACTCTGGTAAGGTTGGCAACCTCAAGGTAGCCGTCCAGAGTTGGCGAAAATGACCATGAAGAAGAAAGATCTTAACTATCTATATGAAATGGTGTTTAATTGATTCTCCAAGTCTAATTAAATGAACAATAATATTTTTAGAGATAATGTTTTAATATTTTTTTCATAAGAAATGGTTATATTTTACAATTTTGGGAGAGGATTCAGCCCGGAAGCCTTCCCTTCGCCTGTGTGCCGGACTAATCTTGGTCCATTAACTTTAAAAATGTTTTAAGATACATAACTTCAACTAATAAGTTAAACTCTGATCTAATTCAACAAAAAGAAATAATAACATTGAGCATACAATAGTTCCACGACTTATCAAGGAGGATAGATTCGATGATGTACGAGGTTTCAGATATATGGATTTGACACTGAAGAACGGCAACACTGCATATATTACGGAAAATGCTGGTACTGGGTAAGGGGAATTAGTCCGGCAAATTCCCCTTACCCAGTACCAGCACTTTCCGTAATATATGCAGTGTTGCCATTCTTCAGTGTCAAATCCATATATCTGAAACCTCGTACATCATCGAATCTATCCTCCTTGATGAGTCGTAGAACTATTGTATGCTCAATGTTATTATTTCTTTTTGTTGAATTAGATCAGAGTTTTACTTATTAGTTGAAGTTATGTATCTTAAAACATTTTTAAAGTTAATGGACTAAGAAGTAAAATGAGTTTAATTTAAAGTGCAAAACTTGTATAAATGTGTATACAGAAACGGTTGGATACATGGGCGTATTCCGGGGGAAGAGAAGGGTAGTGAGTGCCGTTGCCCCTCCCCCTCCTAAATAATTTGGTAAACAATAAAACAAATAATACAAAAGATTTAGCCAAAATTCGAGAAAATGTATTTATTTTTTTAATTGTGTTCTATGTATATGTTTTATTTCATATAAAAATAATTATAAATTTTAATAATAGTAAATTTGTCAAAAAAAAAAAAAACCTTCTTACCCCCCTCTATGATAGCTGCGTACGCTCATGGTTGAACAGCTTAATCGAAGTTTGGAAGTTAAATAACGTGGAGCTAAAATAAATAAATATACAAATAATTTCTAAAAAAAATACGTTTTAATTTTCTATTTTCCTTACCTAGAACTATTTTATATACATCCAATTTTGTTTTGTGATCTTATAGTAATTATTTTACATACAGATATATGTTATATTAGGTCTCATTTATAATTTTAAGTATTAGCCACGATAAAATAGAGGAAAAACGATTTCGAAAATATTAGCCTCCTTGAATTGTTTTGAATTTCCATTTAAGTCATAATATTAGAATTACAATGACATTTCGCTTTTCTTTTCTCTTTCTTGCACCTTTGTTTAATATTAATGTGTAGGTGAAACTGGACGGGCATTAAAAGCGGACTCGAAACTTTCCAAAACCCAAGGCACGTATAGCGATAACTGATTCCTTTCGTGTTTGCCTAATTTTATTGTCAGTAAAAGCTGGAGTTTTCACTAAGCCTAGAATTCGTTACTGAACGAACTCTTTTATCGTTGATTATCCAAATCAACAATTATATGTTAATATGAATAAGTTTCCTTTTATTTATTGTTCTCCACCGAATCCCGTCGAGACCCATACCTATCAATTCAATTTCAGTCAGTCAATCATCCCACATTCAAATTCAGTCAGTCATCCCACCTATGTCTCAGGCTAACTCGTTAAATTTTAGAGGTCGGATCAACTCTCATCGCCTTTCTAACGATTCCTTCCTTAAGCGACCTATCAACCTCGTGCGCTCATTCGAATTGTCGTCATGCTATTTTTTTCATTATGTATATTTACTGGGTGGTAGTTACTCAATTGTTCAGTTTATAGAATTATTTTTTAATTCGATATTTTCAAAAACTTTTAGGTGCTGTCCTTCTCTTAACGTGGACTAAAACGTCCTTCGTCTTGTTAACTCATATTGGATAGTAACCGCGAAATGGATAATATCATCATAGAAAAAAAAATCTGGTGCGCGCAACACACAACTTTCACCTACCGCTATACTTTGAATAGAAATTATTTTCTGGTAATGTTGGGCTATTATAAAATTTGTGAAGTGCATTTTTAACCATGATAAAGCTTATGATGAAATAGCATCTTAAACAATGCCATTACCTTGATAAAGTGTATTATAAATACTTTTTGTCAAACTTAAAAAAAAATTTAAAGTTTACATTTAGTAAGAAAATTTCATTTAATTTCTTTGAAAACATGTGATTTATGTTAAATAATGTTAGTTTTCAGAAATTATTATTTATATTTTTTTCCAAACTCTCCTGTACCTTCTACAACTTTATTTATTAGATATTATTTTTTCTAAAATACTCCGCTTTCCGTTGATACTTCTGATTATTATTTCCGGAAATTTATGTTTTACCTGAATAAGTATTGTTCTTTTTTTTGTTCCTTTATTCAATTATCAAAATTTTCCAAAAGTTATATTTAGCCTTTTATCATAACTCCTTACAATTAAACATAGTTAATTATTTAAAATAAACCAAATTAAAAGTACTTTACAAGAAGACATGTTGAGCATTGGACATTTGAGCCCTGTAAAGTGACATCAATGGGTATAAGACCTAAATGATATTAAAGACTATTTAATTATACAATGATACACTTTAATCAAAATCGTTGAAGCCGTTTTTTAGTAAATATGTGTTTAACTGTTTATATAAGGTGCTACTTCTGGTTAGTCGATTTTAACAAAAAACTTGCTGTCACATTCAATGTATATACCTATCTTAAATATGTAATATCAGTTTCGTACGACTTTTCGTTTTTGAGCTGAACTGTTCTCACGTACACTCACACCGGTTCTCATATTTTGCGGGACTTGATTATTTGGACTCAATGGACCTCATAACATGCATTTCCTTTGAAAACTCAGATTCGAACATTTTCAGGATCGCAATGCTTTCCCTTACTATATTTTACATATATTGGTAAGTGAAATTTAAAAACAAGTGTTTCTGAGTTTTCTCACGATGTATTTATACCCTTCTTAATTCTTTTCTTCGAGGTATTGCATTATCACATTCAAGAGCATTTCCTAAAACATAATATTATCTAATTATTGGCATTATTATTCATATGCATTTATTGATCTACCTTATCAAGATCCATTAGAGCTGTATTTAATCTTAATTACTTCATTATTAAAACAATGGTTTAGCCAAGCAAGAGTGTTTTAACTACCAAAGTTAAATCTTTTCTTTACAAATTATACATTTATATAAGTATATGTCCACTTGAAAGTTATTCACTGTCGAGAGTTGTACTCAATAGTATAATGGATAACTCAGTTTATTTCTCTCATTATATACTCCCGAGTGGTTGGTAACTTTTCAGTTAATTGATGTATTCAAATTCTTGATTAAATAAATTTGAATGAGGAAATTTTAACTGAAATGTAACTCGAAATTTCTTATTGTAAACTTATCATGTGTTTTCCCGACCATAATCTATACAACATATTCTCAATTTTCCCGTAGGGCTTTGTATTTTATAAGTTTTGGTTGCTACTTCCATGAAAAAAAGTTTTATTTTTTTATGCTCAAAATGTATTTAGATCATCAGTCCTCAGATCCTGCTCTCCAGTAACTGGAACTCTAGGCAGATAATATTTATCCTTATTATATTTTTATTTTATTGTTTAGTCCCCCCTCCAAAAATGTAACAAACTAAATATAAAGCTTTTTTTTTAAGACAGGCTGGTACAAATTACAAAATAATAAAAAAAATGTTCAAGAAACTAAGTAGTCTATTTTTTTCAAGGTTTTATGAAAGGAATACACAAAATGAAAATTATTTATTTTAAACTCCATATGGAAATCTGTTTATGAAGCAGCAATACTAGACCATTTTCTCATTTACAATGTTTGTAAGCTTATTTTTCAAAGTGTGTTACTTTTATTGCAAAAGCTGGATTATTAAGTTTCTTCCTTCTGGGCTTTAAATTTTATAATTTGACTGGTATTTTTGAAAAGCAAATGATAACCATGTATTAAAAAACTTTTTTTCTATTCTTCAAATTTGTTTGTCCTTTATAAATTTATTAATTTTACTGTCCAACTTAAATTATTTGTTTTTTATGTTTAGGTAAGGCTCGAAAGTATTGGAGCAGAAGATATTGTAGATGGAAACCCTAGACTGATTCTTGGTCTTATTTGGACTATTATTCTTCGTTTCCAAATCCAAGAAATTGAAATTGATGTTGTAAGTATTTCTATTTTCTCCTTTTCTTTCCCAGCCATTTGTAAGTCTTTATAATCAAATGACAATGTTGACAAAATTTCAGGATGAGGAAAATGAAAGTAGTGAGAAAAAGTCAGCCAAAGATGCTCTTCTTTTATGGTGCCAAAGAAAAACAACTGGATATCCAGGTGTTGCTATTCAAGACTTTACTGGTAAGTATACTTTTTAATTGTAATTAAATGCATTAGTTTCCATAATTTGGTTTAAAATAAAACCCATAATGAAGTATATCAAAGGTTTCATGCCATAAGTGTTCAATACACTAACTTTTTTTTTTATTTACTAATTTATATTCTAGTAACTTTGTTAATTTCCTCTATTAACTGCTGATGTTCGAACAGATTTAGTTTCTTTTTAGTTTATATTTGCATCATTAATCTTCAAGATTTTTTTTTTACCCTTATGGCTTTTATACTTAAAAATCTAAACGATCCTTTGTATACCAACTTTACTCAAATATTTACTTTTATCCATTTTTCCTATTTACTGTAGTAGCTCTAGTTCGTAATTAATGAATCCTCTATTATAAAGTAAAATATTGAATAGATGTGTCAATATCTATTTTGTGATCATAATAAAGTGAAACATGTCTGGTAGCAAGGTTGTGGTCTCCTTGCTACTCATTTTGATGCAATATTTAATTGTTACTGAATTTTAAGAACCGGATTTTCAGTATTTTTGCTATAACTCAACACTCATCCTTGGCATTTAAACCAGATTTTCAATTAATTTAGTATGTATATCTGGTGATAAATTTATAACACAAAAATTATTTGTAGGATCCTGGAGGAACGGTCTTGGGTTTAATGCCTTAATTCATTCTCATCGCCCAGATCTTATTGAATTTACTTCCCTCCAGCCAGCAAAACACATTGAAAATTTGAATAATGCTTTTGAAACAGCTCACCAAGAATTGGGTATTCCAAAATTACTCGATGCTGAAGGTAATTTTTTAATAATTATTTAATTAACCCTATGTATACATGTATGTAACAATCAAATATCTTTAAATAAATCTAAAGGCCATTTAATTTAATTGCTTATTGTTCCTTTTAGATGTTGATACTAATCGTCCTGATGAAAAGTCCATAATGACTTATGTTGCATCATATTACCACACTTTTGCGAGGATGAAAAATGAAATGAAAAGTGGAAGAAGAATAGCGAATGTTTGTACTTTTTTAATTGAAAAAAAAAAATTACATTTTCCATTTATGATTTTTAAATATGCTTATGTTTGAGATTATAGATTGTGGGACAAATGATGGAGGCAGACAACATGAAAATACATTATGAAAAATTGACTACCAACTTATTAGAATGGATCAAACAAAAAGTTGCTCAGTTGGAAAATCACAACTTTCCTAACTCATTAGAAGGTATTCAAAAAGAATTGCTTGCCTTCAAACAATATAGAACCATTGAAAAACCCCCAAAGTAAGTGTTGTATAGTAATGTCATTCTATGAACATTTAATCTTTATGAAACATATTTATTGCCAAATTAATTTGTTACAGGTATAAGGAGCGAAGTGAAATTGAAGCTCTTTATTTTCATATAAATACTCAATTAAAATCTTTGAATCAACCAGCTTATAGCCCACCTGATGGTCAGCTGATTCATGATTTGGAGAGGGGATGGGAGCTTTTGGAGGCGGCAGAACATCGAAGGGAAGTAGCACTAAGGCAAGAACTGCTGCGCCAAGAAAGACTAGAACAGCTGAATTATAATTTCGAAAGAAAAGTAATTTTTCATTAAGTCTACAAAAAGTGATTAAGATACTTCACTGAACCATAAAATAAATTAATTTAATATTTATTTTGTAGAGTGTCTTGCGAGAAGGATTTCTAAAAGAAATGATTCAAGTTTTATCCGATCCACGATATGGCAGCAATTTAGCTCAAGTGGATGCCACAGTAAAAAAACATGAAGCTATTAGTGCAGACATTATGGCCAGGGTTGGTTATATTCAGATATAAATATTAAATTTGTATATAGAAATTATAAGTTCATTTCTAATTCAATTAAATAAATTTTCACACTTTTTTAATATGGTAAGTTTTACTTTGATCTAATGTATTATTTGTTATTTTACAGGAAGAAAGATTTCATGATTTGACAAACATGAGCGAAGAATTGGTGAGAGAAAATTATCATAGCCATGAAAGAGTCAAGAAAAGGGAAACTGAAGTGCTTTCAAAGTGGAGAGAACTTTTGCTGTTACTTGACAAGCATCGAGCTAACCTCAACACAATGTGTACGCTCATGTCCATGCTCAGAGAAATAGATACTATCATGTCTACTATCAAAGATTTAGAGGTAATTTTATGCATGGATATCCGGTAAAAAAAAACAAAAAAACTTTTTAAAAAAATACTTGTCTATAACTAGTCTTTTTGGACTTGGACAATCAGCTATAAAGTTTAACCAAGCTATTAAATTGTTTCTGACTCCAATTTATATCTTTCATTCATTATTAATATTGAAATGCTTCATATTCTATAATAATCTTCAATTTTCCAGGCTAATTTTCAATCAGAAGATGTGGGACCTCATCTTCTTGGTGTCGAAGATCTACTACAAAAACATAGTTTAATTGAAATGCAAATTACTGTTGCTATGGGAGAAACAGTTAGAAAGTTGACTCGCCAATGTCAGCAATATATATCTGCGGGCCATAAAGAATCGGCTCTTCTTCAAGCCAGCATTGATAGACTTAACAAAGCTTATTCAAAGTAATATATTTTATTTTTTCCTATTTACATTGAATCAATTAGGATTGTTTTCTCAATTTCGCAAATATTAATCCCAAGAATAAAACCTAAACCTTAACTTAATCCAAAATTATAGATTTTTCTTAATCTTTGTACCAATGCTATCAACCAATAACAGGCTAAACTGCACATGGTCCTTCAAAACAGTAACGGAATTATTAATTTTTGTTAGGCACAATAACATATCTAAAACTTCAGAAATAAAATAATTTCTATGCTAATTAAAACAACCAATATTATGCTGAAATAATGGCATCTCTGGGCCTGAGAGACTTATACAAATTTATTCTGCACAAAATGCTTTGTTATCTCTCGGTGTTAATGACATGAGTGTTTTATCCTTTTAAAAAATAAATAAATAAAGCAGTCTTTTACGTTAATTTTTTTTTATTGTTTCTAGTTTGCTGGAAAAGAGTAAAATACGAAGAGAAAGATTAGAAGAAGCAAGAAATTTTTATCAATTTGTTCAAGACCATGAAGAAGAGGAAGCATGGTTAATCGAAAAACAGAGAATTTGTCAGGCTGGTATATCTGCTAAAGATTTAAGAGCAGTTATAAATCTTCAACAGAAACATAAGGTCAGTAAATGGATTGTTAACTGAATGAACATTTTTAATAGAACTATTGGAATGAATTACTTTGATCTTTTAAAAGAAAATTGTATATTTTATAACTCTTAAATCATTTTCTATCACTTATTTATTTTAGCTGCTACTCGATGAAATGAAGGTTAGAAGGCCTAAATCAGAACAGATTTGTGAAGTGGGAAGGCAGTTAGTGACTGAGAAACATACGAGGTCCAATGATATAGTTCTCAGGATTCAAAGTTTACAGCAGCATTGGCAAAAACTCACCGATCTCACCTCCCAGAGAATGAAACAACTTCAAGATGCATCTGAAGCTTATCAGGTACTTTTTTAATATTAACTTAGTCGATTCAGTTCTGTAGCAAGAATCACTATAGAATATTTAGTTGTCAACACAATTGATAAAATATTTTTTCTAGTTCTATGCAGACGCCAATGAAGCAGAATCTTGGTTGAATGAATGCTTAGCCCTTGTTGGCACAAATGATTATGGAGTTGATGAACCGAGTGCCCAGGCTCTCCTTCAGAGGCATAAAGACTTAGAAGGCGAGATAAATGCGTATGCTGGTGATATTCAGAGCTTAAATTCTCAAGCTGAAAAACTCATACAGGCTGGAATATCTACCTTAGAAGTAATTATATTGCAGTTATTAAATGATGAATTCTTCCTATATTTATTATATTTAAAAATAGAAGACAAAGGCTTCATTAACTATTTGTAATATGCTTCATTTAATGAAGGTTATCAATAAGCATCTTTAAATTCATTATTATTATTTTATGATTGTTAATAATTTTAAATTGAAATTGTGTTTTGGTTTCCATTAAATTTATACTATGAGAAGTTAATAATTTTAAATTGAAATTGTGTTTTGGTTTCCATTAAATTTATACTATGAGAATCTTACTTTTGTATCAGTTGTCAGCAGAACCAGAAGTTCTTGAGGTTGAAGGAGCCATAGAAGAATGGGTGAATGAAACTCGTTTGACCCCAACAGAAGTATGGGAGGAAGAACCAGTTGAGACCGTCGAACATCGAACGGTGTTGGAGGATAGAGCTGTACCTCAAGTGAAGGGCCTCTATCCATTTGTTGGTCAAGGGATGGTCATGGGCAAAGGAGAGGTGAGGAGTTTATATTATGGCTAATATTTTCATTTATGTGTTCATAGGCTTAATTTAAATGATTCACAATAAATTCCTTCATCATTGTTTATGAAATTAATTGGACATCTTTAATTTTCAGGTGATGTTTCTGTTAAGTAAAACAAATCCTGATTGGTGGAGTGTAAGAAAAGCTAATGGACAAGATGGATTTGTTCCAGCTAACTATGTCAAAGAAATAGAACCAAAAATAATGCAGGTATCTGTTCGAAAAGTTGAAAAAGTTCAATCTATGCAGAAGGTTCGAAAAACTAAATTAATTAAAACTGTTGTTCCTGTTAAGAAGATAATAGCTCCTAAACCAAAAGGTAAGTTTCTGTTACCCAACTCAAATGGTAATTTAGAATTAAATATTTCTTTTAAAATTATTTCTGGTGTGATTTTATGTTAAAATTGGTTTAAGACTAGAAAATTGTCTTTCCTCATCATTTTCCATCAAACTCTATCACAAAAAATATTTATAAAAATCTTAATATAATGATAAACCAAAAGAACCAGCTAAATAATAGGGCTTCACAAAATTACATTCTTAGCAAAGTAACTTATGTTTTTCAGAACATTTTCTGACACCCTTAGTCCTATCTACTACTTTTTTAAATATGTCTTGAATGATTTTATCTATAATGGCAGCATAAAAAATTCTGATATTTATTGTAATTTATAAATAAAAATTAGTACAATGATCACCTGATAATGTAAAAATATTTAGGATGCCATTGCTTTCAAAAGAGCTATTATTGATTTTTTTTCTGTGTTATTCGAAGAATGTAGTAGGAATAAAGCAAAACAAGCAAGTAAATCATTCCAAGAAAATTGTGCCTGAAAATATTCTTCCTAAAATCGTAAAACAAACCCTGTGATCTATCTTAAAACTTATTTATCTGTTCTCGCTAACTATATATATATATATATATATATATATATGTTTTAATTAAGTGACCATAGAGTAAATACTTTTTAAGATATTAGAACTTTAAGGTAGCGATTCGTTAATTCGTTAATTAAAAATGGTGGCAAGGGTTCTTTTAGGCAAGGAAGTTAAGATCAAAGAAATCAATTAGGTTATCCCTGCATTTCCATGGAGATCATGGTAGTTGACCTGAGAGACCAAAAATTAGATTAACAAAATAAGGGACCAGTGAGTTTCTCTCATTAATTTGGGTATTGATAGGCCAAACAATAACATTGATAGTAATAAAATAAACATAAACCGTAAAGGTTATCTTATTTGGTGGACAGGGTGGCCGAATGGGCTAACGTGTGTGCACATCACCGCCGTTGCCCAGAAACCTGATCTATAAGACATTGGATTTAAAATAGTCACGAGTTCGCGTCCCAGTGCCGGCGGAGTCTTTTAAATCTCCACCCACACCCCCTGGCCCGGGAAAATCCCGTATAGCCTTAAAGGCGAGGAAGGGGAGAACCAAAAAAAAAAAAGTTATCTTATTTCAACATGATTTAAGAAAAAGGAAAATATATATAATTTTTAATTCATTCTAATTAATTTTAGTGTTAAAAATAATTATTTGTTTAATTAATTTTGTATGTTCAAGGAAATTATTGGTATGTTAAAGTTTATTTAATGTTTTTATTATTTTTTACTTTTCAGTACAAACTAAAAGGAAATCAGTTGATGATAGTCAACATGTCCAGAAAAGACAAAAGAAAATTAATGATACTTATAGTGAGCTGAAAGAATTAGCTTTAGTAAGAGAACAACTAATTATTTATTTTTTAAAAACAAATATCTCAAATAATAAAATAAAATAGAATATGAAAATATTAATTAAAAGTTATCTTTTTTGTAATTCATTATTGTTTTTTAATCAAATAAGTTTGTTTATTAAAATCAGTCTTATTTTAACCACCAAAGCCTTAAATTTGCTTTTAGCATTCACCTATGAAGCAGTATTTATGTATGATTAGATAAATGTTAATTAATTATAATAGTAATGTACACTTACTTTTGATATTTTTTAATTTAATTTAATTATTATTATTGTATTTTCATTAGAAAAGAAAAGCTTTATTGGAAGACTCCATTCGATTGTTTGGATTCTACAGAGAATGTGATGATTTTGGTAAGTGGATTAAAGACAAAGAAAAAATGTTGAGAGCTGAAGATAAGTCTGACAATGTTGAAACAGCGAAAAGGAAGTTTGAGGTTAGTTAGTTAGTATTACCACATATTATCAAATCAAGAAGTTAGGAAATATTTTGTTGATTTGATTTAATTACATGGATTTATAGACTGGATTTCAGAAAACAACATATCGCTACTGTTAGTGCAAAAGGTGGTATGTATCAATTTTACATGTTTATCTTCTTTGCACTAAAGGTGATATTTTATAGTATGCAACTAAATAGGAAAATAGCCGAGAGAAATAATCAATTTTTAAGTTCTGTATAAATGCTCTTCTATAAAAAAAAAAGTCAATTTTTGCATACGACCTTTTGTACTAAGAGTAGCAATATTTATTATTTATTTAACAGTAGCAATATTAATTCATTTTTAATTGTTATTTGGTTAATGTTATGTATTAAAATTTTTTAATTTTTTTTCTCAGCAATTTCTCACTGATCTGTCTGCCAGTAGAAAACGGATAGAAGCTTTAGATAATACTGTTGACAACTTTGTTAGACAGGTAAATACACTTTTTAGATAATTAAGATAGCGAATGATTTGAAACAACAGTAATTTAATAACTAATCATGAATTATACCAAAAATTGACTGCAAAACTACTTTAATATATTAAAATCCAAGTTTGTTATGGATTCCTCTGAAATATGAAGGTTCTATCTAATTTACCAGCTTCGTAATTTGGGATATTTCATTCTCTAAGGATGTATTGAAATGGTGTCTGTTCACCCTTTGAAAAGGCTAGGAGTAACTGAATGCTTAATGTTGTAGATAATAATGATAACCTTATGATTTTATAATTTATGAATAAGCTTTGTTGACTATATCCAAAAATTATTTAGAATAAAATGAAATATATTTTTTCCTTTTCTATCTGCACTGATTTATTCTTGGTAGATATTATAGAATCTAGATTTATGGTCGGTCTCTTCTCCCCATATTTTCTAGTTACTTATTATTATAATGTTGTGATCATCATTGCATAAAGGACCATTGAGATCTAATTCTTCATTTGTGGATTCTTTCAAAATTTCTCATATTGTATTATAAATGATAATTGAATACTTGTAATTTAAGTTTTTATCTTTTTTAATGATTGTATGATTCGTTTTCAGGGCCATAGTCAACTTGATAAAGTCAGGGCTCGTCAACAGCAAATTCACCAACAATGGGAACATCTAAATTGGCTTAAAAGCCAAAAAGAAAAGAGCTTAGAAGGAGCCTCTAGTGTTGAACTGTTTCACAGGACGTGTGATGAAGCTAAAGATTGGATGCTTGAAAAGATGACACAGTTAGAAACTGCTGAGGTAGGACCCGATCTTAAGACAGTTCAAGCTTTACAGAGGAGGCATGAAAATCTTGAAAGAGAGCTCGCTCCAGTTGAAGAAAAAGTTAACAGAGTTAATCATCTTGCAAATACGTACGTTTAAAATATATTACATTTGTTGACATATCATTACAATCTTAATAAAGTTTTATGTTTTATATTTGACTAATTAACATCATGAACACTTAATATAGTAATTATTTTTTTCCATTAGCCCATATAATTGTTTATTTATAGAATAGCAAATATGAAATATATATGATTTTATAATATTTATTGGTTTGAAATTATTAAATCATATATCTGTTTCAGTGTTAAATCATCTTACCCAAATGAAAAAACTAGTGTGAACAGTCGTCAGAAAGAAGTATTAGATTTATGGGATAAAGTTAAGGTAACGACGCCCTTTAATATTTAATCATTTTGATATTTATTTCATTTCTATTAATTTTTTATTATTTTTTTTTTTTTAATTTTAGAAAAAAGCAACAGAGCGAAGATCCAGGTTGGAGAGTGCTGTCGGCCAGCAAATATTTACAAACAGCTCTAAAAATCTTGTAATTTTTGTTTTATCTTACAAATTCATTCTATGATACATTATTTACCGTATTTTATTTCTAAAATTTAATTCTTTAATATTGTAGCTGAATTGGTTAACAACTGTGAAGGAAGCTCTTAATGCCGATGAAACAGCTAGGGATGTTGCGACTGCCGAAAGTTTGTTAAAAAAACATCAGGAAGAGCTTGCTGATGATATAAAGGCTCACAATGACGAGTATGTTGAAAACCTATACTTTATTAATAATACCTTTAGATTTATTTTTTGTATTAATAATGCAAATATTTAAAATTTTAATAATTTATTTGTAATATTGTATTATAGGTTCAGAGAAGTTTCAGCACTTGGTCATAAGCTGCTCCTTCATAATCCAGGATTGACAGATGTTAAAGAGAGGTTAGATAGGCTTTCGACTGAGCAAGCTGCGGTTCAAAAAAGTTTTGCAGAAAAGGGTGATTGGCTCAGGCAGTGTCTAGACCTCCAGTGTTTTAACCAAGAAGCTGACCACATTGATACAACCACAGCTATCCATGAAGCTTTCCTCGAATTTACTGACTTAGGAGTATGTTTATTTATCTATCTATACATAGATATAAATACTTCATATACTATTTTATTTATTTATTTTTTTATTATTGTATTGGTAGAATGTTAAATGATTTAGGGAATTTATTTAATTTACAGGGTTCTGTGGATGATGTTCAAGCTCTTTTGAAAAGACATGATGATTTCGAAAACACTCTATTTGCTCAAGATGATAGACTAAAGGCATTTAGTGAAATAGCTGACAAATTAATATCTGCAAATCATTATGATTCAAAATAGTAAGTATCTTTATTCTTTCACTTAAAAGTTACATAATTTTTTTTTTGTATTTTAAAACAAAAAATTTCTATATCATAGTCTTAAAAAATATATAAGTTATAATTTGACATATGTCTAGTATATTACATCAGTAAATTTACCAAATATTTCTATCTAATCATTGTTTTTATTTTTTTCAAATATTTCTTTTTTTTAATGGACAATATATAATTTTTAGTATTGATGACAGAAGAAAGCAAGTGTTAGCTCGGCGTCAGAAGGTTAAAGAACTTTCTGCTAAAAGGAGAGCCGCCCTCGTAGCGTCCCGAAATTTCCATGACTTTGCTGCAGATGTTGATGATCTCAGAGCTTGGCTTGCGGAAAAACTAAAAACTGCTGGAGATGAATCTTACAGAGACTTGAACAACATTGAAAGAAAATTACAAAAACATGAGGCATTTGAAAGAGAGTTGAGGGCAAACGAAAGACAATTAAGAACAATTAATAAAGTATGTATGTTCTGAAAACCTGGTTTAGAAAAAATAAATACATTCAAACTCCTGTGCATTGAACATTTTAGGAACCTTTAATATTAATTTTTAAAAAGAATATATAAAATTAAATTGCCATCAGAAATTTCATTATCATGAAAAAAAAAAGTAAATGAGGGGGAAAATGTACTATTTTAGAAGAAGTATTCAGGGGAACGAGATTCTCTGAATCTCTTTCCGAGTGCTGAGAAAAATTTTCATATTAAATTTACTTTTCTTATTGCTCTTAAACATAAATCATTAACTATGAAAGAAATTTTAATTTAACTATAGAAGTAAAAAGCTGGATGAAAAATAAAGATGTTGCACATTTATTAAAAGTTATGACAACTGATTCAGTTATTAAAAGTTTGATAAACCTTGGTATTGAAATGTAATATCCTGAAAAATGGCCTCCAGTACTTCATAGAAATAATTGTAATTATTTTTAATTTGTCAAGGTTGAAAAATGTTAACTTTTCTATGTATCAAATTTGTTTTTCGAGAAATCTTCCTGTTCAATATATATAGGTTCAACTGTTATTGAGTTTTTTACTGGATTTACTGAACAACTCCAACTCCCTTTATAACAAATCTTTATATATTTTATTATGTTTTAAGCTTTAAAATTTCTCCATATTTAAGTGAAAGAATTCACTCATGAATTTTATCTTTCTTAAAAAATGTTGTCAAGTTCAATTATATGACTCAGTTGCTTAACTTAAGTTAAAATGAAGTCGGTAATAGGTCATTTGAATAACTGTGATACCCTACATCTGATTGGAATTTCTCCTGAGAAACCTTATAGTAATTGATTTTAAGACTGAATCCTAATTATAAAACTCAATTTACATGATAATACTTATTTCCCCATAATTAAATTTTTGTAACATTGTAATTTGTGGATAGATTCTTTTCCTCAAAGATGTGAAAAAGAAGTAGTTGAATTTTTTTCATTTATTTTGAAATACTAAAAATTTGTAGAGTTTGTTTTTTTATTTCAAATCACTTTCTTGTAGATAGGTGAAGGCCTTATCAGTGGTGGTAACTATCGCAGTCCTGAAGTTTCTCAACTTTTGAAAGAACTTAATGCAAAATGGGAAGTTTTAGTTAAGAGTTCTCTAGAAAAGAGTCAACGATTAAGACAAGCTGTGGCTCAGCATTCATACAACAGAACTTTAGAAGACGCACGAGCTAAATTGGCTGAAATACAATTATCATTGCAATCCGATCAACTTGGTTCTGATTTGAGGAATTGTAAACAGCTCCTGAAAAATCACCAGGTTGGAAGCTTTATTAAATGATTTGTTTTGTTTTTTAGATTCTATTCCATAATGATTATGAATCAAGTACTGTCCATACTTAATATTATTTTTTTTAATGAGTTAATTGTGATTTTTAATGAATAATTTTATGGAAAACATTTTTATCTCTCTTTATTTTATTACTTAAACTGTTTTATTTAAAGTGCAGCTATGAATATCATTTAACTTGATACAATTAAATATCTAACTAATTTTTTTATGAAAATCTGTTTAGGTTCTGGAATCAGATATCTGCCAATGGGAACAAAAGGTTATGGATTTAAATGCCCATGGGCAAGAAATGATCCATGAAGGACATTTTGATGCAGAAAATATTTTGAAAGCCAGTAAGCACTGTCAGGATAAGTAAGTGTTTCTTCATGATAAATCCTCAATATCTTCTCTTTACTTAACATTTTAAATTCATTATTATCGTTTATGTAGATTCAGTGCTTTGCAAGAACCAGCCAGGAAAAGAAGAGAAGCTTTAGAAGAATCTTTAAGGTTCCACAAATTTGGATTTGAACTAGAAACTGAATTAGGATGGATTAGGGAACATCTTCCTTTAGCATCATCTGAAGCTCTCGGTAACAATCTTTACCAAGCCCAAGCTTTATATAAAAAGCACAAGAAACTGGAGGCAGAAATAGAAGGGCATCAACCGATGATTGATAAAACTCTTGCATCTGGAAAAGCTTTAATTCATCAAAGTCACCCTGAAACCAAACAGGTCCTTGATTTTTCGGCTTATTATAATTATTTTGTTGCTTATTTTTGTATCAAAGTTGTCTTCTCATAACTTATCTTATTAATGATATTTTTCAATATTAGGTTACTTCACTTTGTACTGGATTGGAGGATGCTTGGAATGACTTGAAGTTAAAAGCTCAAGAACGATCGCGTAAATTAGAACTTTCTCTTAAAGGGCAACAATATTTTTCAGAAGCTAATGAAGTTGAAAGTTGGTTTTCTGAAAAGAACAATGTGTTAAGTTCTACTGACTTTGGGAGGGATCGTGATGCTGCATCCAAACTTCTTACCAAACATAAGGTAATTTAGTTTTTTATGATGATATCAATGAGAATAGTATGCAGATATATTATGTTTTATAATTCCATCTATTTCATGATAGAGAAAAATTAAACCTTTTATATCAAAACTACATACCTCTAACATCGTTTTGCACTATGATCCATAAAAAATTCTGGCCTCCTCTAAACCACACTTCAAGTGCCCTCAGGTCGGTTCCAAACCTACCTCCAAGCACGATCTTGGTCTTTCTCTCTTTATGTTTCCTTCTGGATACCCCACCATAATCATCTTGGTGAACAAAACTACATATGTGTTGTTACTTTTTACATCCAAATAAAGAAACTATATATAACTAGTAGGCCCGTGCGAAAAATTTGCACAGCATATTGTTTTCAAATGCCAAATTAATAAGAAAAGACATTAATGCAACGTATCAAAAGATAAAGAAATCTATTGTTACTTTATCGATAAATATAATCGAAAAAGGGAACAAAAATTAATTTAAATCTTCATTAATGTTTGGAACAAACATGTTTACAAATTTCAGTAAGCTGTATCTTTGCTAAAAACTGTCCGATTTCGATGATTTTTTTTTCATTTTGTAAGGAATTTAGTAATCATTTATATAATCATGTGCATGACCAAGGCAAAAGTGTGTAATTTTTTAGTTATTCGCAAATAAAGTTTGTTTTCTTTCATAACTTGTTTGCCTGAATTTTCGGAGTGATTCAACTATTTTGCCCGCCTGAAGGAGAAGGAAGCCTTCGAAATTGGTGGCTCATTCTTGAGATTTGGTGAAAAATTAACGATGATATGGCTTGCCGATCAAAAACACCATCCATAAATAATATAAAATCCTCCTCTCTCGGTCATAGAGACCTCAAGTCGGCGAAATGAGACATCTATTCAATGACAATACTACAATTAATGCAAGGTTGTGTTGATGCAAACCCTATGCCTTGCGTTATCTCGAAAATAGCACGTTTTTGGGCTTAAAAGCGCAGGATCCGATAGTTCCGGAGGAACTATCCGGGTCTTGCTGTACATATCAAAATCTTCAAGATCCAATTTGTCTCGTATCGATCTACAGACCTACCACCATTCCAGTATTGAAGCCTAGTAAAATGTTTGTATCGACTTTATTTATTTGAGAAAGAAAAATAAAAGTGGATAATACGATTCGCTAACCAGCCGTGAAATTCTGAATCCAATGGTACCCCATTCATGGTATTTGAGCATGACAGGTGCTTATATTTGGTACAAAACTGATTTCGAGCCTTACTGTAATAATATATGTGGGGATAGTAATACTTTCTAATAAATATAAAAGTGCTTATTTATAGCAAACTTAGTTAAAAAGCAGTTACATTAAAAATAGTCATTTTTTGTGGCGTGCTATCACGTTCCAGTCATTATCTTCTCATAATTCAGTCGTATGAATCTTGGTCTCCCAATCACTCAACATCTGTGCAGCAGTTATGTTATTAGCACCTTCATCACTGTGACATAAAATGCTGAGTGGTTGATTCAATTTTGTCACTCTTGTGATATCTAATTCCATTGAATAAGTCAAAAGTTCCATTGTTTGGTCATTGCTGCCATTATCCTCTATTATTAGGAAGTTTGAAAATTTGTTGGAGAAGTTTTCACTCAAAAACCTTTTTATGTAAATTGCTTACTTAAAATTTATAATCTTGATTGTTTTTCTCCTCCATTAATGTATAAATAGATATTAGACCCATGAATGAATATATAATAAAGTAGGTACACAGTTACTTCAAAATATAATATATAGTAAATATTATCTATATGTCATTTTTTATTTGTTATAATGAATCATTTTTTTCCCTCAGGCTTTAGAGTTGGAGCTTGACACTTACAATGGTATTGTTAGCGAAATGGGTCGCACTGCAAACAGCATGGTAGCCTCCAAACATCCGGATTGCAAAGCGATCGCTGCGAAACAAACTTCGATTCAGCAGCAAATGAGAACTTTACAAAAATTAGCCAGTGCTAGACAGCAAAGGCTTGTTGAGAGTATGTGCCGTCACGAATATATAAGTGAAAGCGCTGAACTGGAGCAATGGATTAGAGAGCAAATGCAGGTTGCAAGTCTTGAGGATTATGGTCAAGATTATGAGCATTTACTTGTAAGGAAATAGATTTTTTTTTTTTTCACCTAGTAACTTTAGATAAGGAACATATGACATACAGTGGCATTTTTTTAGAATCTTCAGAAAAAATTTGAAGATCTAAAGCATCATGTTGAAGCCGGTTTTGATAGATTCAACCAATGCGAAGAATTGGCCAATAAACTTATTTCAAACGAGAGTCCCTATACCGATGACATAGAGAGCCGGCAGTATATGATAAGGTATTGATTGAGACCACATTTTACGTATTAATTAAACTGGTTTGCTCAATTTTTTTATAGATCCTAATATTTTTTTCTTAAAGAAAATTATAAATAGTTAATATACTTATGTGATTATTGTTTTATCTCTTTGAATAACATATATAAATTTGTAGAGACTATTGGGACCAATTATTGAATGCAATTGAAAAAAGAGAAACACGACTGGCAGCAGCTGGTGAGATCCATAGATTTAATCGAGATGTAGCAGATGCCTTATCAAGAATAAGTGATAAGAAAGCAGTACTTAGTGACGATTTAGGACGTGATCTAAATTCAGCTTTGGCTCTAGTCAGAAGACATGAAGGATTCGAAAATGATCTTGTTGCTTTAGGTGACCGCCTACAGGTATAATAATATATTCAATTATGTAATTATATCTAGCGAATTCTATTTGATTATTATTTTATTATGTATATATATTATAATTTTTCTTAGATATTGGTTGATGAAGCTGAAAGATTGAAAATTGTCTACCCAGGAAATAATTCTGCTCAAATTGAACAAAAGCAGCAAGCTCTTATTCTGAGCTGGGAAGATCTGAAGCAGAAATCTGAAATGCGAAAAAGAATACTCCAGGCAAGCTGTGATCATCAAAGGTTCCTTTCACAGGTAACAAAGCTCAATAGGATACATTTAGTTTAATCACCTGTATTGCTATTTTCACTCCAGCTCAATAGCGGATCCAGAATTTAATTTTGGGGGGGGCTTCAGCCCGAAACCTTTTTTTTTTCATAAAAATAACGATAATTACTTTGGAAAAACAGAAAGAAACTAACTACCTATATGAAATGGTGTTTAAGTTATTCCTTAAGTACTTTTAAATGTAATTTCACGAACAATAATACTTTAAGAGGTATTTAAAAAAAAAAATTTCCCATAAAACATGGTTATTTTTTTCCATTTTGGGGGGGCTTCAGCCCGAACGCCCCCCCCCCCCTCCCCGTAGATCCGCCCGTGCTCCAGCTAATTAGAGTAGTTAGTAGTTTCTAGATAATATATCCTTCTTAAAGTAAAGAAGAAAATACATGATTTCCTAGTTGAAATACATGAGCAAATTAAACTAAATAATTATACATAGTAAGAACAAATCATTACTTTGAGAAATATAATTTTAAACTGATAAGAGCTCTAGTAGAATATATATATTTTGATCTTGCATATAAAGTATATTGCTAATAACCTATTAGTTAAACTAACAGAAAGAAGTTTTGATTATTTTTGTTCAGCAAAAATTTATGAAAGTTGTAAAAGTAAGTGGATGTTTCTCAAAATAATTTTTCTAAAAATTCCCATTGTTGGAAAAGTGAAAAATTCCAGATTAAATATAAAGAGTAGTTATCAGATTAATTTAATTAAAAAACAGAACAATATCCTTTTAAAAGCTATTGTGTTGAAATTCTTTAAAACAATTTTAATCCAACCTTCTTCTTTGAATTAATCATTCCTACACAATGTTCATTTATTGTTAACGAATTTAAATAATACTAGGAATGACTTTAGATCAAAATATTCTGAAAGATCTCTATTATGATAACGGTTTTGTTAAAAAACTTTTTTAATTTTTCTTTTATGCATACTACTTCCTCAACTGTATTCACTAATTTACTGATATATATATTTTTCTTTTGGCTTGGTTATTGTGTCAGGCCAAGTATCATTGTGTCAAAATATGTAATTAAAAAAAAAATATAGCTATTTTATGAAAAAAAAAAAATACTGACATTTGTAACAATTTTGTGTTTATTATTTTGTTATAGAATGATTAAATAACCTGATGCTTAAGTTTTGTTTAGACATAATATATGTACATTAATGCTTCATCAACATTTAAATATTAGCAATTTATTACTTGAGTAAAATATAAAATTAATATTTTTATTCTTATTTTATTATTGTCTATTAGGTCCGTGATTTGATGAGCTGGGCTAGTGGTTTAAGAGCTGCCATATTAACTGAAGAAAAAGTGAGGGATGCAGCAAGTGCTCAAAGTTTAAAGGCTGAACACCAGAGATTTTTGGCTGAAATTGAAGCCAGAGAAGAAAGCTTCCGGAACGTTATGGAGCTTGGGGAAGAAATGATCCAAACTGAACACTATGCCTCTCAAGTGAGTGTTAATTTCAACATTACCGTTTCTTTTTTATTACAAGAAAAAGCGGGTAATTATTTCAATTTATTTTTCCTTTAGGAAATCCAAGAAAAATTCAATCAACTTCTTGAAGAAAGGAAAAAACTCCATACTGTGTGGCAGCATAAAAATGTCCACCTCGATCAGCTTATTGATTTACACCTGTTTTTGAGAGATGCAAAACAGATAGACACCATTTGCAACTCCCAAGAAGCTGCATTATCTAATACTGATTTTGGTAAGTGTCATTTTACCATGTTTTTTTATGATCAAGTTCTTTACTGACAGCTTCTGTATAGATTATTTTATTTTACAGCTTAAATGAGAAGCTTATTTATTATTTATATTTGAAGCTTATTTATATTTGAGAAGCTTTTCATAATACATTTTATTTATTTATACATACACCAATTAGATCTTGTATTAAAAACATTAAATATTTTACTACTGTTCCCTTGTAACACAAATAAAAATATAAAAACACAAAAAGACTTGTAATGTGAATACATATGAGCTTCCATTAATTAAAAAATCATTTTTGAATTAGTCTTTGAACGTTAAATTGGCCAAATTTAGAATATTTATTATTTGACGCGAAACATAAAAAAAAAATTAAACAATTGATTCATTATTATCTGAGTAGTTTAGTATTTTTATTGTGTAAATTAAAATGATTAACAGAGTTATACATATAAAATTTTGTTGAATCAATCTTTTTAATTTTATAATTTACACAGGTGACTCAGTTGATGAAGTTGCTGTATTAGTAAAGAAGCATGATGCATTTGAAAAACTTTTTGCCACTCAAGAAGACAAAGTAGCACTATTAAATGAGCATGGTTCAAAATTATTAGCCCAGAATCATTTTGAAAGTGCAATCATTGCTAAAAGGTTGTCTGAAGTTACTCAACGCAGAAATGCAATAAGAGAGCTTTGTCACATCCGGAGAAACAAACTTGATAATGCATTATTACATGCGCAGTTCAATAGAGATGTTGCTGAGGTAATCATATTCAATAAGCCTTAAGTTTTAGATATTTCATTTTTTAATAATCAGCTACTTAGAAATTAAACTAAAACAAATAAACCTAATGATTTTTTGAGAAAGAAATGTTTTTGGCCTATACCCTATAATTATATTATTATAAATTTATAATTTAGTTCATTATTAAGTTTTCAGTGATAATTTCTTTTGTTTACATTTCATTATTTTAGCTAATAATTGGTCAATAATTTGAGAAAATGCCACTATTTCAATAAAAAGTGATTAATTGTAGGTAAAGTCGTATTTTATCTGAAATGTAATAATGTTTTAGGCTGAATCTTGGATTGGAGAAAAGAAGAAGAAGTTAGAAGTTGAAGCTAAAGCTGAAGTTAGTAGTTTGGAAGACAAAATAAAAAAATTACAAAAACATCAAGCTTTTCAGGCAGAATTGGCGGTTAATAAGGGTAGAATAACTGCTATACAAGAAAAAGGTAAATTCAGAATATATAATTTAATAAATTGATAGTGATTATTGTGAATTGTTTAAACCCGTAAATTCTGTCTTCTCATATATGTAATGTTTAGGTCTATTCTTTTAAACAAAGTTTTAATTTTTTATATAATTTATATTTTTATATTTACATATTTATTTTATGTAATAGTTGAAAAATAAAATGGAGGACTAGAAAAAAAAGTTACATTAATAATTTATAATAACTACAAAATAAGAAATTTAATTTTAAATAATCAGTCTCTGTTATAGTTCAGAAGTATGTAGAAGTAGCGAATAATTAAGAAGTGCTTTACTATGCTTCAATAGTTTATTTTCAAATTTAATGAACTCGCCTCATTCATTGATTTTTGTAATAGATGGTTATTATATTTTTCAACTCTTAATTTTTTTTTTTTTTTATTATTATTTATGAAATTTATAACTGTACAAATTAATATACATTCAGCAAATGTGATACAAAGAAATACATGACATGACAAGGCTTGTAGAGAATCAACCCATTGGTTGCACTCTAAGTCTTAAAATTAAGGAAAAAAAATTACCGTTTACTTAAAGAAAAGGAATTCTTAATAACAATTGTATGTAGATATTCTATGCTTCATTTTCAAAGGAAGTCATCAAATAAGCTCCACAATGAAATACTAGAGAATAATATCCAATATTTATTTAAAGGTCAAACGCTTCTTGCGAAAAAACATAAAGCCTCAAGAGAAATAGAAACTGCTTTGGAACACCTTATATCTTCATGGAATAGCCTGTTAAAGGAAAGTGAAAACAGGGGAAGAGGTTTGGAAGAGGCCCAAGATATATTAGAATTTAACAACCAGCTGGAGAAAATTGAAGCATGGATTAGAGATAAGGTAACTACATTTTTTTTCTACAGTAAAATATTGAGTGGCTTCATCAATATATTTAAAGAAAACTATTTTTGTTGTAGGAGATGATGGTTCAAGCAGGAGATATGGGAAAAGACTATGAACACTGTCTGGCATTACAAAGAAAACTTGACGATGTTGATAGTGACATGCGGGTTGACGATATGCGCATTAAAGCCATTAATAATTTGGCTGATAAGCTTATAAGGCAGGGACGAAGTGATACACGTTCGGTGCAACAGAGGAGAGATCATTTCTATAATAAGTAATGTCACAGTTTTTGATTTTTGTTATTTCATGATGTTATCTATTACTAACCTGTGTCTTACAATTGTTTTTTAGATGGAAAGGTTTACAAGGTGCATTGAGTGAGTACAGAGAACATCTGGCCGGTGCTTTAGAAATTCATGCTTTCAATAGAGATGTAGATGATACTTCTCAAAGAGTTTCGGAAAAAGCGGTTGCTATGACTACAGATGATACAGGACGTGATTTGGTTGGTGTTGAACACTTAAAAAGAAAGCAGGATGCATTAGAACGGGACATGACTGCTATCGAGGGCAAACTTAAGGTACTATCTGCAACTTACATTTGTATTGAATATAGTCAGTTTGTGAATTATGCCTTTAAGCATGTCATTTCTTCTAAGGTACATTCGATTCTTGATAAAGTTTGTCGAATCCCTGTGGTTCCTAACATGTCTCTGTATTCAGCTTAACACATAGCTGATATACATTAATTACTCTAAGATGTAGAGTAATATAAATAATCTGACTTTATTTTTATTTTTAATTTAAATCAAATCATTTAGATTTACCCGTTTATATTTTTTTTTAAAGAAAGTATATTAAAATTTTCATTCTACACAGTTTAATATTCCATGAATAATAGTGTATTAGCATGATCAAAAAGATAAAAACTTGTCTCTCCAAGCTTAGTGTATTCTATCAATATCAAGAGTATTATATTTTATTCTATTGGGATTTTACTCATATATTTAATATTATCTAATTATTGATGTAAAATGCCAATGTTTTGTTTATTGTAAGTATTTACTGAGTTTCATAATATTTATATCCCCTAGGAGCATGATGTCGAGTGTAAGAGACTTGTATCTAAGTATCCAGACATGTCTGCTCCCATCAGGAGTAAATTAACTGAATTGCAAGATAACTGGCGTGAACTGATTTCTCTTGCAAGCACACGGCGAACTGTACTCGCTGCTGCTGCTGCTAGACATAGGTTTGAAGCTGATTTCCGAGAGCTCCAAGCATGGGCTTTAGAAACAATAGAAGGGATGGCATCAAGTGAATTACCAACAAATATGGCAGAAGCCCATACAATGCTGGAGTTGCATCATGAGAAGAAGGTAATTATACTCCCATCTTGTTTAGTGATTTTACAAATGTTTATTCAAAATTGATTTTGTGTAACATTTACTTTAAAGTAATGATCATAATATGTTAAATTTATATTAAAATTCTTTTGAATGTCCTTTTTAAAATTTATATCTGCCAATATTTATAATTTATTGGCTGTTATATATTAATTGACTTTTTTATGCTAGCGATTATTTACTTGTAGCCTGTTAACCAGCTTTTGAATTGCCATTGCTTATCAACTGGTAGTCTGTCAATTGGCTTTCGGTTGTTAAATATTATCACCTTGTAGAATTTAAATAAAATAATATGTCAGTCTTAAGCGAGTGGCAATCTCTTTAATAAATGAGATATGAAATGACAATAGTTATTTAATAGTATATGTAATTGTTCAATTTATTACTGAAGTTGATAGAGAGTTTTCTATTCACAATTTTCTTTTAAACTTTTAAGATATATCAATTCAGCTGATTTTGTTAATATTAAACAATGAAATTGTTACTATAAAAAAAAAAAAAAAAAAAAATGGTTTTGATCGTCTTTAAACATTTTGGTTATGTTATGGGTAGTAGTATTTTTTCTTATTTCCTAATTGGGACAAATAATCAATTTCAAGGAAACAAACTAAAATTTTTTATCAATGGGTTTTGGTTTCAGTTGTTTTTTTTTATTTATATCCATAGGAAAAATTAAATTCTGAAGAATGTAGTGGTAGCTATAACTACTTCACCAAACAGTAAATAAATAAAAATCATTTTGGTATTTACTTATTATTGTACTTACAGGTTATCAAAAAAGGCTTGGGTATTATATAGTTGGTTAACTAACTAACGGTTATAAATTATTGCACCAATCTTGTTACATCCCATGTTGTCAATATCTCAATTCATGCAACCTGGCATGTTGAGCAAAAAAAAATTATTTGTCTGATTTATTAATGTGTATCTGTAAGAGTAGCAAATTGAAACAATCAGAGTGTATGATAATATATTTTTTTCATATTTATAGGCAGAGATTGACGGACGTCAGGAGGCTTTCAAATCTATTAAGGAGGCCGGGCTTAAACTGAGCCCTCCTCGAGAAAATGAAATAACTAAACTAGAAGAACTGCGGAGGACGCTAGGCGCTGCTTGGGAAGAGAGGAGGCAGCGATTGGAACAGGCACAACAACTACAGCAGTTCAGACAGCAAGCTGATCAAGCTGACTCATGGCTCGCCTCAAAGGAAGCTTTTCTTAATAATGATGATCTCGGGGTAAGATAATAATTATTTTTATTGCAATATTTTTGTAAATTGTAATATTATTATTCTTTTTAATTTTTATAATGTTATTCCAGGACACTGTTGTTGGTGTCGAAGAGTTATTACGCAAAACTGAAGCATTTGAAAAAACTGTGCAAGCTCAGTTTGGAAGAGTTGAAGAAGTTGAAAAGTTGGGTAAAGAGCTCCTTTCTCGTGAACATTATGCAGCCTCTACAATATCTAATATTCTTCAAGCCTTGGTTTCACGTAGGGATAAGTTAATAGAAAGCACTGCGACAAGAAAGAGGCGACTCTTGGAATCTAAGAAATTACATGAATTTTTCAGAAATGTATATGAGGTAAATTTATTATAACTATTTTTGTCACCTATTGAAGTAAAATTATATAAATAAATTTAGAATTTTAATTCATCTTGTGAGCATGGTTTTTTTCAAGCTATATAAAAATCTTTGTTTATTCTTATTACTAATTTTAATATATATCAGGGATATAAAGATTGGTAATAATTTTTAAAAAATTATATTTAAATTTATAATACCTAAAATGTAGAATTATTTGAAACCATGAAAAATAGTATAAGTTATGCCATATTTGATCGTACACTTTCATGTTTATAACTGTTTATTATATTATAAATTTAATATTGTGATTGTTGTTTATTATTGAACTCAGTTTACGTAAACAAGCACATAAACTTCAAATTTTCAATTCATAATTGCTTTATAATGTTTCTAAAACTTTTTTGTATAAATATTTTTCAATGCCAAAACAAATTGTTTTTTATTGTCTCAATTTCTTAAAAAGTAACCAATTATTAAATTATCAGTAAAATAATAAGTATTGAATAGTATTGAAATTAATAAAAATTATTAAAACTAATTATAATTGTGGGTTAATGGTTGACTGTCGTGAATAATGAAGATAAGGATGGTTGGAGTGATTAGTCAGAAATAAGAAGGCAAAAATAAATATTATTATTTATTTTTGCCTTATTATTTCTGACTGATCACCCCAACCATCCTTCTCTTTATTAAAACTAATTGTTATTGCCTATTGTTCATTTCAAACAATTTTAGTTTTTCAACTCAGCTATTCTCCATGAGTATATTTTTCTTCTTACTTGAAAAGTTAAGGTAAAACATATTTTTTGTAGAATTAATTGTTATTCATAATATTTCAGTAACAATTGAAAGTTTATTATCCTTTTCTTTAATTATATTTTGGACATTTAGGTGGAGAGTTGGTTGCTTCAGAAACAGCAAGTCGCAGATGATGAAAATTATAGAGATGCTAGTAATCTTCAAAGCAAAATTCAGAAGCATATCGCATTTGAAGCTGAACTTATTGCAAATAAAAGCCGAGTAGGTGGCGTTTCTAATGAAGGTGAAGCTCTCATCAGGGAAGGCCATTTTGCAAGTGATGAGATTCAAAGGAAACTGGATGAACTAGAGTCTGAATGGAGGCTTATACAAGAGACCAGTGCAACTAAAAGGGAACGCCTCAACGAAGCTTACCAAGTATTTGAGATTACCAATTACTTATGTATATCTATTTTAATTATCTGAACTGTATGGTTAATTTTCTTGTGTTTCTCCCTAGGCCCTTCTTTTTAGTCGTACGTTAGAAGAATTAGAAGCATGGATAGATGATGTTGAAGGACAGTTAACTAGTGAAGATCATGGAAAGGATCTTGCAAGTGTTGCTAATCTTCTTAAAAGGCACGCACTCCTTGAGAACAATGTTACTGGACACCAGGATGCATTCAATCAGTTAAATGACACTGCATCCACATTCCATAGGTCTAATCATTTCATGAAAGAAGAAATAAAAGAAAGAGCTCAAGCTGCAATAGATAGGTAAAATTGACTTATCACTGATCTATCTCATTAAATATTTAGCTATATTTATCAAAACCATCAATTTTTTTTTTAAATATAGGTTTTTAAGAACTGAATAGGTTATGATTTTTGTTATAAATTTAACAGTTTATTTGTGATCAAATTACAAGAAAAGATAGGAATTATTTTATTGTTAATATTTTTTACTATCCAAAGTTTTATTCTCTAATCAACTTTTGGTTATTTTATTTATTTACTTTTTTTTATTTATATATATTTTTTTTTTTTTGTTTAGGTATCGTTCGTTGCAAGAACCAATGCAGATAAGACGGGACAATTTAGAAGATGCTCTATTGCTGTACCAGTTATTGAGAGATATTGAAGATGAAATGCAATGGCTTGAGGAAAAGGAACCACTCGCTGCTTCTGTTGACTTGGGAAACAGTCTAAACGCTGTTCAGAGTCTTCAGAAAAAACATCATGTATGTTTAATTTTATTCCTCATTAAATTAATATTATTTTTTTGATATTTTAAGCTCACTTTGTAGATAGCAAATTTAATCACTGACAGACTAAATGCTTATGTTGATATGTATATATTAGTTAAGCTGAATGAATTTACTATTTTCTGAATAAAAAACCTATTTTATGTTGAAGGTTTTGGAATCTGAAATAATGTCACGTGAGCAAGTAGTTAATGCTCTTGGGAGCAGAGCTCAGCAGATGGTGAGAAGCGGACATTTTGCTAGTTCCAGGATTGAAACAGCTCATAGTGATTTGCTTGAAAAACTGGCTAGAATAAAACAATTAGTAAAAGAGCGTAAACTTAAATTGCTTGATGCTGTGGAATCACAAATGGTATATATGTATTCTTATCTCTTTTTTTTAAGTAATAATCCCTTTTTTATTTATTTTTGATCGGGAAACTTATTTGTTGTGTATTCTAGTTCCTCATTAAATAAGATTAAATTTGTTTGAAAATGTGGTAATTGTTATCCTTTTTTTGACATGTCTTTATAAAACATTGCAGGAAATTATTTTTATCACTTTTCTTCATTTGGTTTGTTCTTTAAGCTTGTAACTAAAATTTTGACTTCTACTATTTCTTACTGTGTAATGAAAAATATTTTTTTAGTTTAATAATTATCCTTTTATTATTTTTATTACCTATTCTGGAAATTATGTGTTGTATATATTTCAAATTTATTACGTTTAAATATAAAAAAGCATGAGTTATAAACAACCTTCAATTCAAATAACTATTATTTTATGATAATAAATTATCAATACTATATTTTAAATCTGTTATTTGATACTTAACAAAAATGTTGAGACAGTCTAAATAATGACGTTAAAAGTCATTAGAACAAACAAAGTTGTATATATTTCTCATAATGGAAACTATAACATATAATCATTAATTTTGTTTTGTTTTTTCTTTTAGTTTTATGTTGAAGCAAGTGAAGCTGAAGCATGGTTAAAAGAAAAGAGGCCTCTTCTTGTTTCAACAGATTTTGGAAAAGATGAAGATTCAGTTCAAAGCCTTTTAAAGAAGTTAGAAGGTTTCAGCAGGGAAATAACAGCTTTCAGGCAAACAGTCGGGCGACTTAGTAATCTTAGTCATGGTTTAGTTGATCGAGGCCATTTTGACTCTGAGAAGATTTCCCAGAAACAAGTATATAATTTTTTCAGAAGTTTTTTTATATAATTTAAGATTTATAAGGAAATATCATTAATATGTTTTCAATTTTATTGAAAATTAAAGACTGACATCGAAGAAGAATTGAGGGAAATAGAAAACCTGTGTAAAAAAAGAGAATGGAACTTGCTTGAAAGTCGAAAGCTGTACCGGTTTTTAAGAGAAGCCGAGGAAGTCGCAGAATGGATTAGTGATCAGACAGCAGTTGCAGCTTCTGAAGATTATGGTAGAGATGTGGAGCATGTTGAACTTTTAATCCAGGTTTGTCTAGTTTTTGCACTTTAAATTGAGAATTCGAAGATTAAGCAATGTTTGAGTTATACAAATGATGTTTCATTATGGTTTCTGTTTTAGAGATTTGAAAATGTACTCAGTGGATTATCTTCAAGTGAAGGAAGGGTAACTAATTGTCTTCAGAGCGGACAAGCATTGATAGCTGAAGGAAATCCAGAGAGCCAAAGAATCGCCAAGAAAATGGAAGAGACACAACAGTTGTGGGATGACCTCAAAGAATTAGCGCATGCCAGGCAGGAGGTGACGTTTACTTATCTTTTTTTACTAATATATTTTTTTTTTCTCTCAGGTTGAACCTTTTGTGAACAATTATCACTTAATTTATGTTAGTATTTGTATGTGAATTTTCTAATTTTGAAAATTTTTATTGAATTGACTCATACTTTAAATTTCAAATATGTTATGTTCTAGGCTCTTGCTGGAGCGAAACAAGTTCATGTCTTTGATCGAACAGCTGATGAAACAATTTGTTGGATTCAAGAAAAAGATTCTAGTCTTACAGCTGAAGGTTACGGGCAAGATCTGGAGTCCATTCAAGCTCTAGTTAGGAAGCATGAAGTGTTCCAAACAGATCTTGCTGCTGTAAAAGAACAGGTATTAATTTCATTCATAAATAGTTTGGCTCTTAACATTTATGGTTAAAAACTAGGTTGAACTTTAGTATATGGTGGAGATAACTTTTTATATTATATTTCCAGTGATATAACATAAATTAGGGGTGACCCAATATCAGCCATCCCTTTTGCTGCTATGAATGTCTCTTTAATTTCAAACTTGTAATAATGAAAACGTTGCTGACACTTATAATTTACAGATGCTTATTTATACCATAATATGTTCAACTCAGTTGTCTAGCCCAGTATTATATCTTATAGTTCCTTATTAATTTATTATTGAGGTAAATATTTTGTTTGAATGTGGTTTAGGAATTCTATTAATGTATCAAATGAATAAATAGGTCGAAGCTGTTGTTGAAGAAGGTGGTAGGCTTTCTGGGTTGTTTCCAGATGCCAGAGAGCATATTGAAGTGAAGCATGAAGAAGTAACCGATGCCTGGACTCAGCTTTATGAAAAAACTGAACAAAGAAGAATGAATCTAGAGCAAGCTGAACAACTGCAATCTTATTTCGATCTTTACCGTGATCTTATGTATGTTTTCGTAATAGTTATTTATTGTACTCTTGATATTGTAAGGGTAGTTTATATTGTTTATTTTTAAATAATTCAGGGCATGGATCAGCGAAATGATTGCTAAAGTAACATCGCCTGAATTGGCTCAGGATGTAGCTGGTGCTGAAGCACTTATATCACGACATATGGAGCATAGAGCGGAAATCAACAGTAGGGAAGAAGCATTTAGTCAATTTTATACAACAGGCAATGCCCTAATTAAGCAGGTAACTAAAATTTTCTTTATTCAATATTTTATATTATTGTGATTGTTATGAAAGAGAATATTTTTTGTAGCCAAAAAATTTCAGCCACTTAATTTTTTCAGGGACATTTCCTTGGAAATGATATTCAAGATAAGATTCGGATTCTTGAACAAAGAAAACATCTCTTAAATGATACTTGGGAAAAACGGAAAGTTATTTATGATCTGAGTTTAGATACACGGGTATGTAAATTATTATTATGATTAAAATGAAACATTATAACAGACATTTTGTTTTTCTGTGATATCAAAGCAGTAATTTTGCATTGCATTTCTTATATTCTAAGGATAAGTTTATTATAAATCGATATGACTAATTGTAATAATGTTTTTCAAACTTCCATTTTTGTTTAGATATTTATGAGGGAAGCAAATCTATTAGAAAATTGGATAATTTCTCGAGAGCCTGTTCTTCATGATGAAAAGCTTGGAGAATCAATCTCTCAGGTTGAAGAATTGATCCGAAGACATGAAGATTTTGAGAAAACTATTGAGGCACATGCAGAGAAATTTAGTGCCATTAAAAGGATAACTTTAGTAATAAAACTTTTTTTTTTTTTTAATTCACTTTCATTTAAGTGAAGTAAGTTATTAATGGCATATTTTATAATTATAGCTTGAACAGGCCTTCTTGAAGCAACAGGAAGCAGAAGCTTCAGCAAGGCAAGCAGAAATTGAAAGAATTGAACGAGAAAGGTCTGAAGCTAGGAAGCGAAGAGAGGTTCAGAGAATGACTCAGGTGCATTATATTATATCTGTTTCTAGTTTATATGATAAAATGTTAGTTTTAGTTGATTCTTCAACTTTTGATATATTCTGTAAATTTAGTTTTTGTGTTAATGAATGTTAATTTTCTTTTATGAGAAATGTCAAGTTTGATGTTAAATGAATAATTTATGATTGAGAACTTGGTTAGGGGTTGCAGTCAATGAGAACACACAAAAAAAAATATTTTTTTTATTTTTATGTTCTCACTTACTATAAATTTTAATAAGGCAGATAATCTTATACAAAATTTTAAAGAGGTGGTGTATTTATCAAGAAACTTTTCACATAAAAACTTTATTAAATGTTAAAAAAATCGTTAATCATTAAAATTAATAAATGTTGTGGAACAACGCACCCTAGCTTAGACAGGCCTATTGTGCTTCTAGTAAAATATATGTTAACTAAGTAGCATACAGCTGAAAAATCTCATAAAGTCATAAAGAACTAGTTAATCTTTTTTTTTTTTAGGCAAGCAAAATGCCTTATTTTCTGACTTAATACTCAAAAACAGTTATGTATTTTTTATCCTAATAAGAATTATTTATTAAGAATAAGTAATAATAATCTATTGTAGTAGATTTTTTTCTAGTCTATTATACAGGACGTTATTAATATACTGTATTTTTTCTATTTTTATTTAGGAAAGGAAAAAAGAAGATGAAAGGAGACGTCAAGAAATCAATGGTGGTCCTGAATTACTGGATAATAAGAATACATCTCCTTCTGGAAGGTATTCATTCCTTAATATGTATTTCATTTTATTCTTTCGTACCGAGAGTTGTGGCTGCATGGTGTTTCTTTTTTCAAATATTTTTAACTTAAAACATCTTTAGTATTATAAAATAAATCAATGTTGTATATAGCCAATGAATTTTTTCTATTGTACATACCTGAAATGAAAATGAACTGCATTGAGAATAATGTCATTAAAAGGCTTAAATTTTAACTCAATTAGAAAATTGGGTATTATTGAGTATTTAAAGTTTTGTAGAACCTCAAAGTATTGTTAAATTAAGTGTGATCTTAAGGTGTTTCTTAACTAAATAATTGGCAGCAAAATTACTTAATATTTTTATTGAAGTTTTTTGGACCAAGTTAGGTTTACAACCAAAATTTATGTCATTATCATGCATTACTCTGAAATGGATGCGCTCAGACTGATTTGTTGTAACCTGATTTTTAGTTTATTTTCTATGAACAAAATATCTAGCAGATAAAAGAATCTTGATACAAAATTAAACTTAATTTTTTGTTTTGATTTTATTGATATTCCCATTTTTATCAAAGATAAAAAAAAAAACTGTTCAGTCAAAAGTCGGACGAAATCAGCTATTCACTAATAGCAGTTAAGCAGGGAAAATAATTATACCCTATTGTATTATCTCTTCTCTAGCATAATTAATTTTTTTATTAATTTATAATTTGATAATATTGTAGTATTTAACAACATTAATAACTATAAACAATTCCATAAGCCTTCTATATATGTTGAATAACATTGATCTTGCATATGAAGAAAATCATTAACTTTTAATTTATAATTTAAATTTTGAGAAACTAGAAAACTAAACTGAGCCTTTATTATCTGTATATATTGGTTGGACCAAAAGAAACTAATCAGTGATTAATTCAACAATGATTAAACTTAAATGATGTAGAACTAGAATTATAATACTTTTATTATTTATTTTAGTAAATTAACTTTTATTTTTATTCCTGCTTAAATCACCATTAAGTTGTCATTTTTTTTTTTAATTACTTTGTCAACTCAATCATTAAAGTACTTTCAAGGCTTTGCTTATGCATAATTATGCACATTAAGTGTTTTAATCACTTTATCCTAAATTTACTTTAATTTTTTTTTAATAATTTTAAAAATTGCACACTTATGCTTCCAACATGCACTTGTATTATAAACCATTGAACCATCTGACCATTCACTATCCTGAAAGATGTGTATGCATGTCTACTTTTTAGGTGATTTCTTATTTTATTATTTAATTTGGAATGTTGATTTTTTTTTTAATGGTGTTTTTTTATCACGCAACTTTTGTTTTTTATATTTAATCTATAAAAACATCTTTATTTTCTTCAGAATTTTGTATGCATTTTTGCATGTTGCATGTTAAGATTCTTATTAGCTGAAAAGTTTGCTGAGGAAACTGAGAGAAAACCATCAATAAATCAGGAAACTTCTGACCTCTCAGAAACAGATTCTGCCTTCCCTATTACCAAATCTCAGTCAACAATTTTACCCAGGTTTGGTATATTATTATAAGCATTGTAATATGTTCTCTTCTTTTAATGATTTATTTGATAGAATTTTATTAAATATACTGATGGCATGTTAATTATTTATATTGTTAATAATTACTTATAAAGTACGAAAATAGTATTAATTTAACTTAATTTTCATCATTAGTTTCTATCCTATCCTACCTACAAGTCTATCCATTGTAAATATGACATAAATAAATATCTTACATAAATGACTTGTAATAATAGAATTCCTACTAACACATATATTGGTTGCTACAGCTGTGTTTAAGGTGGCCAGAAATAACCTTCCAAGACAACTTTAATTTTTGGAGATCAGACCAATTTATTTAATTGTCAAAGAGTAATGAGGGCATTTTATAGTTTCAGGATTTCCTAGTCAATTTCCAAGGGAATAAGTGTGCATAGAGATAGCATGCACTATCAGTATTTGTTTTGTAAAAATATACTTTCACATATTTGTTTTATTTAAAAAAAAAAAAGAAGAAAAAAACATGTAATGTTACAACCATAAAGTATTTTGTTAGGTAGTACTGTTTCTTGGCCAAAGGTTGTTCAAGGAGCAGATTTGGTGAAAATCATGCTCGACGACCACTAGGTTTTTCTCCTTAATTAATTAAGAGCACACGGTGCTTTTGAGGATATATCCCCACCCTGGGGTCAATGCTCAGCTGATGTAAAACTGAAAAAGTGATACCTTGAGAAAATGTATTTTCTTGTAATCAAATAAAAGGTTCGAAAGAATAAATAAAGTTCATTTATTTTTTAAATTAATTTTGCTACATCATGTACTTCACCTGCAAGATTCAGTTCGAAGTCATTCAGTCAGGGACAAACTGCAACAGGAGCATAAACCATCGCAGCTCACGGCAGCCTAAAAACTGCATAACTTCACCTTGTGATCCAACTTTTACTATTACATTCTATTCTTTGTTTTACGAAATCATGCCGTGTGGCTAAGGCCGGGTGCTAGTTTAGCCACAACCTGTTGAGATGAAATAATGTGGCAAACAGTAAGATTTATAAAACTGTTCACGGTATTTTTTTTTAATCACCTTAGAAAATTCATCTTCGAGGATAAATTCTCCCTATATTTTTATTTTCTTCAAATAGCTTCTTTATGGAACTTTTTTCCACCATCCAGGAGGGACCCTCCCTGATGGATTTGCTAGTGGCACAACGCTATACTCTTTTTCTACTTTATTAATCCATTATAATTTAGGGCTTTCATATTGCTATTTTATATGTCTTTATACATTTTCTATTTTCATTTATAAAAAATCTATTGGTTCTGTTTTCTAATTATTGTTAGTAAAATAGTTTTTTTTTTTTTCTTGGAGGACCTCTATTATCAAGCTCTTTAATAAAGTTGTAGGAAGACTATAGTATTTCTTCACAAAACTATGGTCCAGACTGCTGGACATGTAAAAACCCCTCATTTTTAATGTTTTGTTTTTTTATTCCTTTAGTTAACAATAACATTAATAAAATGGATAAATCATTCTAATTTTATTTTAAAATATTTAACAGATTTGTTTACTTTGTTTTTAGATTGAATGCTCAGGAGTCTCCCATTCCCCTTCAGAAGTCTGGTAGTATTTCTACTTTATTTGGTGATAGACTACGAAAAGGTAATTCTTATTTTTCTCTAGCAATTTGTTTTCTTTTAATAGATCAATATACTTTATATATTTCTTGCTTGGTTGTATAAATTAAAAATTAATGTAATCCTGTATTACTTATTATCTCGTTATTTATTATTAATTTTTTAGATCTGCCCTCATATAGGCTCAATATCTGAAAAGAAAGAATGACATTTTCATTTTACTTAAAAATTAATTCTCAGATTTTTAGAGAATAGTCCAATATAGAGAGAGATTTCAAAGGACATAATAACTCCTCCACTAATTCTCAAGAGCAAAACCTAGCAATCTTATCTTACACATATCATTAATTACAGTTTAAATATTAAATTCAATTAAGTATGTCAGTTATTGTTTTTAATTTTATCGTTAAATAAAAGCATCTGTTAGTTATTTTATATAATTTACTTATATTATAAATTTTAGACCCCTGGTACTGAAACCTAAAATATTGGAAGTTTTCTTGATCAATCTTGAAATAAGCACTCATTAATTTTGTTAGAGAAAACTCTAATGCTAGCAGTTAAAAATTTAAGTTCTATTCTGGTTACTAATATACTTAAAATATTATGGTTTTCACATGATCATTTTAATTTTGCCTATTAAACTGACATTTTATGTGTTTATTTTTATATCCAGATCTTATTTTTAATTAATCCATGTATTCATTTTTGAAGTGTATTTATATATTCCAATTACATTTAATTTTCAGCTGGTGATGTGAAGCGAGCTGAAAGTATGAAAGCAGATCTTAAAAAGCCAAAGAGGACGCCATCATTCACCACACGTAGGAGGACCCAGAGTTTTAGAAAATTGCAAAAATTCCGAGGAGATGAGTTAGATCAACTGCCACCTGTGGAAATTCAAGGAATTCTTGATAGGAAACATGAACTTCAAAGTGGTGGGAAGAAAGCTGCTCTCCGTTCTTGGAAAACTTTCTACACAGGTAAGCAATTTTTTGGAAAGTATAATTTATTTAAACTTAGGAGAAATAGAACTTTCATAAGAATCTTTTTTTTAATAACAGTGCAAGCAATAATATATGTGATATTTTATGCATTTAAATGACAAATAATGCTTTTTTGGAGTTAAAATAATGTTAATGTCCAGAAATATTAATCATATTTATTTAATTTATTCATTGCATAAATATGTACATAAATTGTATAATTAGAGTTTGCTTGTTTGATACTGATGACTATTTATAGTTCTTCTGCCTATTTGCTTATCATTATTAATTAAGAATCATTGTTTGTTTAGTTCTTTGCGGGCAGCTTCTTTGCTTCTTTAAAGATCAAGACGATTTTGTTGCAAGTAAGGCTGCCACCTCTCCAATCATAATATTCAATGCCAAATGTGAAAAAGCGGAAGATTATACAAAAAGGAAACATGTTTTTAGGTCAGTTATATCTTTAAGTCAATAAGACTAATACCAGTAATATTAAATTATATCATTAATGTTGTTTTTATTTATTTTTTTTTTGCCTATGTAGGCTTTGTACTACAGATGGATCAGAGTTTTTATTTTTGGCTCCTAATGGAGAAGAAATGGAAGATTGGGTTAATAAAATTACATTCCATGCTCAGCTTCCTCCTAGTTTACAATTGATGAGTTATGATGAAAACCAAAAGGTAAGTAGATGTTTGTTGCTTTTAGCATTTTATTTTTTATGATTTACACTATTGCGGGTTGGAATGAAAGAGAAGTAAATCCACTTGTCATTTATTAATGTTAAATTGGTTATCAACATCTGCTGATATAAAGATGGCTGTCTATTATAATCTACTAAACATATCCTAAAATGGTTTAAATCCCTTTTCCAGCTCTCAATAGTAATGGATTTGGTCAAACAAATTGTCCAAAGAAAAGAAATTTCTTGAAGAAATGACGATCTCTCTTTTGATCCTTAAATTCTTTCTATAACTGTATTTAAAATAATTATAAATTGTAATTTATTTAAAAAATCTGATGGGACAAGTTGAATTTTAATGGTTTCAAGGTTTGGGATATTTTTTACATTTTTCATAAATTCAAGACCATTATTTTCCTCCAATGTTTTATTTCTTTTCTTCGACCCAAGACTCCCACAGAAGGCCTTATTTCTTTTTATAGTATGATATGTGATGACGTTTCAGGCAGTGCTTGGGCCATTTTCAAGTCTGAAAATTTGTTATCATTATATTACAATTTAATTTTATGCAATTAAATCATTAATTTTATTCAATTAAAACATTAATTTTATTCAATTAAAACATTAATTTTATTCTACATATATTATCCACCTACTGATTTTATCCCTCATTTATGTTTTACATCATTTATTATATATTTTCTACTGCCTTAATTTTTCAGTAAATTTCAATTCAGCAATTTTTCTATATTTTTATGTATTTTATTATTACCTAAAATCGGTTTTTCATCATTGTATCCATAGTCACTGACCTCTTTTCTTTATCTAAGAAAAGTGAAAATGTATTCATTTCGGATCTCCCCTACGTCTTCTATGGAGGGATTGAATAATGAAAAATGAAAACCTTATGGCTCCTAAAATAGGCAAAATGAAGAGATATTTTTTATTTTTCTTCCTTGTTAACATAATTCTCCTTCAATGAGTGAGAAAAGTACAAACGAAGAATCTTGCACCGGTCCAATAGGTCTCATCTTTGTTCAATGCTGGGTTAGTAAAAGTTTAAAGATTGCTGGTTTCTATTGCTTAACTGTTAATCTGAAGAGATATTTTACACTGGGGCAGGCTAATTACTTATTAAGCAGTCTGTTACTTATGCAGTAATTATAAAGTATGCAGCTTTAACAATCCTGTGTTGTGAAAATACTTTCTTGATAATATTATATTTTTTATAGGGTTAAACATACTTCCCTAATATCGCTTAAATTTGGAATGAGTAAGCAAGAAGTATATATAGTAATTCTAATTTTGGAAATCTTATATCTTATAAAGTAAAAAAAATTCATTTCATAGGCATTTTTTAACTTTTAGATGATAAGTTTGAAAAGTAACATTAATTTCTTTCACCATTTTTTTTTTTCATTTCTTTTACAAAATTAGAATTTAGAAGAAAATCAAATATCAAAAAACGCCTTCCTGATATGAGGTGATTGCTAGGGTGAGGAGGGAAGGTGGTGTTTGAGAGGGGAAAGGCTGCTCTAGCTCCTTTCTCCTACAGGCAAACTCATCTTACATTAGACGCACTATACCTTCTACTAAGTGGCTGCTAATTTACTACTTGTTTTATTTTTTGTTAGGGTTCACCATCAGGAGATAGACTGGCTCCAGTTGGGCCTGAGGAGAGTTCAGACTCGAGCCGTGGGTCCACTCCTGAAGTAACCAGAAGAGGGAAACCACCAATTCCACCAAGGGGTGCCCCTCCACCAATACCTATCAGATCATCCACTGGTATGTACATTTATTTCTAATTAATATTTTATTCAATTCTTTTTTATCTGAATCACTATTAGATTATAAATTTTTAGAAATATCCGGAATATCCGTGAGACCTGTTTCATCATACCAACCAAATACCCCTATTAGTCCTAATGGTAATCCTAACCCTGAATGGAGAAACTCGACTCCTGCTAATTTAGATTATCCTGCCACTGGTATGTATTAGTTGTAGCTTTGCTTTGCTTTGCTTATTAGTTTTGCTTGAGTAATTTAGTTGAACAATATTATGTTGAATTGTAGAAGTTCCTCCACCATTACCTTCCTCTGCACCTCCCAATAGGCCGGTAGTTAATGCAGCTCCAGCTCGTGAACCTTGGCCAACAGATGCCACCTCCTTTCGACATGGAACAAGTGAGTTAAAAATTACCCTTCTTTGTTATTATTATCTGTACTGATATGTTTACCATGTTTTGAGCTCTTAAAAGTTCATTTCATATATTTTTATTAAGTATTAGGAATGAATGGTTTGATGAAGATAAAAGTGAATTTTTTAGAGTAGTGGTTTAGAGCAAAACTAAAACATGGCTAGATAATTTCTGTTTATGTAAGACCTGTACCAAGTAAGCACACAGAGCCAGTACCAATAATTTAAATGAATAATAATTTAAAGAAAAACAAACAAATATAGCCTAGCTGAAATTAAAAATAAAATAAATAATCTAACGCTACAATGCGATTAAAAATTACCAGTATATATTACTCTGGTATACTTATAATAAATGATTATGATGTTAAAAATTTTCTCTGTATTAATTTCTAATAAGATTTATTTGACATTACTAATCATAAATAAATTAATATTAATAAAAATAGTAGTATTTTATTAGTTTTACAGGTTATAATATGTTATTAATCTATTGATCATTTAATCAGATTAAAACGTAGTTTTGTTCTTAAGAAATTGTATGCAATTATTGTTACATAATTTGGATACTAGCTTTTTGATGATTCATTTTTTTTTTTTTTTTCAGTTTATGGAAATTTACCTCCGAAGCAGGTATGATAATCCTTTTTGTTATAGCTTATTTATTTTAGTGACATAATCTTTTTTTCATACAAAAAAAACATTTCTTAATGTTGTGGAGATGGTTGACCGTAGATTCTAATTTCAGAAGAAGTTAGTCGGGGACACAGTCAAAATATTAAATGCTATATTATATAATAGTATGTTTATTACATAAACATACTATTTTACTATAAACGTGTATTATATCGTAAACATACTATTATACTAAGCAATAAACATACTATTATATAATATAGTATTTTATATTTTGACCACACTCCCGACGAACTTCTGAAAAAAAAAAATTATATTTGTTCACAATATTTCTCCAATTCTTCTTCGGTGCATAATATTTATTTTCAAGTTTATTTATTTTCAGCCATTTTACACCAATTTTCAAAAAATTTTTGTCAACTTAATGACTACACATCGTTGAGCCATTTTCAAGTCTAAAAAATTTTTACAATTTACAGTCATATTTAAAATATTACATACTTCAACATATAGAGATTCATTCTATATACCTAAAATACCAATCATGTACCTGTCCTTTTCAACTTATGCGAATTGCATGCGTCTACTCATGTAAACGATTTTTTTTTTTGTCATAACACAATCATATTTGTTTGGTCCATGTTAATGCGTTATCATACCAGGCACATTTTGTTTTACAGATTTCTAGCAGCAGGGAATATAAGTTTTTTCTGAGTTACAACTATATGTTACCTAAGCTGAATCAATTTTTCAGTATATATTTATACTGAAGAGATTAATCACTAAAAAATTTATGTTTGCTTTAAATAATTTAAAATTAACCATGTTTGTAAAAAAACTTTGTCGGTATTAAGTCATCAAACTGAAGACACATTCTGTTTAGCTAGTTTTTTTTTGTTTTGTTTTTTGTGATTGACCGTTTTGTTTATTCTTGTACATTTTGGATGTTATTCAGTTAATAAGAAGCACTTAGTCAACATAATCACCACTGTTATGAAACAGCCATGTATAATACAAATTTAACACGGGTGAAGCCATGTTAGAGCCAAATCATGTCAGTTTCTAATTTGGATCAATACTTGCCAGATTTAAAATTTAAGATCATTTGCATAATATTCTCTCTCTTTAAACTTCACTATTTGTTTTCTAATTTATTTATTATTCTCATACAGAATCCTGCCTTCACAAACAGTAACAGCAATCGTTCGGGAACATTGCCGCCCACGACAGGAGGAACTACAAGTGAGGCAAGGCGACCTAGTGAAAGCTCTAGTGAGAATGAACAACAGACAAAAGATACAAGAAAAGATAAAAGACAGAATGTCCTTTCTTCGTTTTTCCGGAAGAAGAAAGGGACTCATACATGAAAGAAGGAAAATCTAAAACCCAAATATTCATAAAAAAATATTATGTTAATGTTTTATATGTATAGTTATAGTTTTGTTTATTTACAGTTTATAGTTTATTTATATATTTATTTCATTTATTAATTTATGTTTGGCACGTATAGCTTGTTTTATTTAATCAAATATATATTTTTCTTTTTTAAAAATCTTGAATCCTCGTGAATTAGAAAGAAAAGGAAATGTCATCTGAACATTTTTTTTAGTTGTTTTGGACTGACTGCACTAATGTAAAATAGCTTATCTTTTATTAAGCATACTTCGTATGATTATTTTATCATACTTGACTTAATATATGTACCTATATAAAATTTATATTTATATATTTTGTTATATTAATGAAATTGTAGGTGTACCATGTCTATATAATGATGCATATAAAGTTAGTTATATTGATGTACATAAAATATGTAATTAAGCTGTTATTTATACCTGTTTTGTTAATCTTTGCATTGTATTATAATCATATATCCATTACATTCATTTGTAACATTCCAATATTTCCCCTCTCAATGTTAAAAGATGTTAGTTCACCTTATAAAACAAAATTGTTGCTTAGTCTTCCACAAACTTTCTTAGTTGGTTCTATGAAAAATATTGTAAAGATGGTACATAGATTTGTTAATTTTTTTTTCAGTATTATCTGTAATATTAAAATTAATTTATGTTTTAAATATATATTAAAAACTAACATTTACCGTGCCTTAGAATTTTTTAATATGAAAAATTCGACTTTGAATACCAAATTTTCTATTTAGCTGAAAAAAATTTAGACAGTTGCATTGTAAGTTTTAACCCTATAAGCCTACAAATTAGTGACTACGTCATAAAATTTTATAAATTTATTTTGTGTATAAATGTAATACATTTTAGTTACCTAGAATAAATGTGAAAGTTTATTCATGTTTTTATTTACCCCTTTTTTATTTTGTGTATTTATTTTTAAAGTTAGTAAGTACCGAACATAGGCTCACAGCAATCAGACCGTACGTCTTGATTGTAGTGACTTTTCACTTTTACATACTAACAAAATACTCATTCTCTAATTATTCTTATTACAGGACTAATAACAATTAATTAATTTTTTAAAATTTTAATGACCAAGCCATTCGAGTGAATCTTTCTCTGTGAACCAAATTGTTTTCTCTCTTAAAAGTTGTAAAATACTGTTTAAAAAAGTTTGATGCATTTTAAGTTATAAAAATAATTTTTAAAAAATGGAACAGCTGCATATGCCTGCCATTTTCTATAAGGATATTAGTTTGTTTTTTTATTACCCTATTTTTACTATTGCTACTGATTTCTTACTTGTATATAATCATATTATTGAAAACAGACCTTCAAGAACAATTTTAAAAATCTAGTTACTTTCTTTTTCATCCAGAGTAGTTACCATTACATAAAATTAGCCCATCTAATAATTGAATCCTGAATCTGCTACTATTCAGATTTATTCTTGTCTCTTATTTTTATAAAATTTGCTGGAATGTAACTTCAATAAATCCCTTTTTTCTGTTATTTGTTAATTAAATAGTATTTTAAATCCTCCGCAGAATATCCCTGTAAAAAAGAAAAGAGAATGATACAAAACATCAGAATCTCTCATGTTTTCATTGTATAGATGCTGACTCACCGTTATATATATTTGATATCCCAAAAATGCCCTTGACAGAGAATAATTTTCAAGAGAGAATGTTAATCTTGAAACAAAAAAAATCTGGTGCGCGCAACACACCACTTTCACTTACCGATCTACTTTGAATAGAAATTATTTTCTGGCAATGCTGGGCTATTATAAAATTTTTTGAAGTGCATTTTAAAGGGAGCTAAAGCTTAAAGCATACAGATAACAAGTCATTAAGACCATTATAATTACAAAATGTCTATTTAATATATGGAAGACGCAATAAAAAAAAATCAATTCACTATATCTGATTTTATAAACCACAGAATGACTAACTCCAATTTCAACATTTTTGAGTGATGTCATTTTAGTGATATTTTTAGTTGAAAAAGTTATCTATGCAGACAATGAGTAAGTTAATTCCAGAAGTGGTGATTGCAGTGTTGAAATATAGAACTGAGAATAAAAGTATAAATTTAGGTACTACTTTCTTATGAAAGATGTTCTTGGGAAAGACACTTTATTAAATATCTGTAGAAATAAGTTTTTTTTAGTCTCAACAATTAAAAAAATATATTTTAAATTTATCCAAATTTTCACCTCTTCAGGGAAAATAACTACAGACCATATCTCTCCTCCTAATTGTCCGATTTTAACGATTTTTTTTTTGTTTTTTTAGAAAATTCCATAAACTTTTAAAAAACCATGTACAATATCCACAAAAAAGCGTATACTTTTTGAGTTATTCGGAATTTAATTTTAAGATCCCTCGTAACTTTTTTTGGAGCTTCTTTTCGTTGAAGTATGTTGTATAGATAAAATTAAAGGGTATCGAGAAAATGACTTTAGCGAAGTTTCATTGAAATCGGTACATTCGTTTAGGCGCTACAGTCTGTAGGAACGCAGGTTTTTCTGCATTTTTATTTTTTTCTCCTTTATTAATTTATCGAATTCTTTCAAACGTTATATATAGCATTTTTTCGTAACTCTAAATAATCCCAAATGGTAAACTTTTCAAAATAAACCATATAAAAGGTACTTTAGAGTAAGACATATATGAACATTGGGCATTTAAGCCCTGTAAAGTGATATCAACGGGGATAAGGCCTAAATGATATTGAAGACCATTTAATTATACAATGACACACCGAGTTTGATCAAAATCGTTAGAGTCGTTTTTGAGAAAATTGTAAAAATATGTTTCAGCGTTCATATAAAGTGGCACTTCCGGTTAGCCGATTTCAACGAAAAAGTTGCTGTCACATCCGGCCCATATACAAACCTTAAATACTTAATATCAGTTTCGTATGACTTTTCGTTTATGAGCTAGACTGTTAACACACACACACACAGACCATTTTGTGACACTTGGTTATTTGAAATCAGGAGACCTCAAAACATGTATTTCCGTTGAAAACTGAGATTCCAAAATTTTCACGATCGCAATACTTACCCTTACTATATATTACATATATACGTAAGTGAAAGTAAAATGAAGAGATGTGAATATTCTGGAGACCACCTAAACAATAGTAATGTTAGAAACTGTGGTATCTGAAAAGAGCTCTATTATGCTCTTTTTTATTTTTTTGAGGTATAATATATTTTACCACACTTAAGGGTACTGAGTATTAAAGCTGTAAGGTACATTCATACCATACTTTCTATTATGTTCTGGATTTGCATTTATTCAATTGAGTATGTGTGTGGCAGTCTTGTAAGAAACGTTCGGCCACAGTTTTCTCTGCTTGAAATTCTTAAGACTACCATATTGAAAGAGTGGGACAACACCTTAAGATATAATTATAAAAATGTTTTATAAAGATACTCTTCAAGCAGTTACGATTTTTTAGAGGGTCAATATTTCGTATTAAATGTCATTATTAGCCAATAACTTTTGTAATTAGAGGATCTTCAGGATCAGAGATAAAGAGAACATTTGTGAAGCCACATACAGAGGAGAGGAAGACAAGGACCACTAATGTTCTGTGAACCAGTGGAAGATTCTGCTGTGATCTTTATTTATTCCTTGAAAAAGAATAAACCTTAAATTAGGAAAAAAAATTAGTAAACTAATAAATAATTTGGATCTATAGATATATTGAAATGCTAACTGGCTAATATTTATTCTTCCTAGAGGGGTGGTCATGGATGGGTTTTGGGTTCAAGAGTTTATCCATTAGAGAGTAATAAAAAAATCCATTCATAGTAACAGTATGTTGAATGCACTTCAAGATGGGCTGAGTGGTGGAATGGGCTAACATGGGTGCACAGCACCGCCGTTGCCGAACAACATGATCTATGAGACAATGGATTTATAAAATAGTCACGAGTTCGCGTCCCGATGCCAGGAGAGCCTTTTAAATCCCTGGCCCGGGAAAACCCCGTATATCCTTAAATTGGTGGAGGACCCGAAAAAAAAATGATGAATAATCCGCTCCCAGAATGAAAGAGGCACAACTTGTAACTTGCTGGGCCCACACTACAGGCAAGCTCGGTTTGGCAAAATAAGGAACTAATCGAAGCTCGTTAACCATGGAAAATGTGCTCAGTAGGACGGAGTCAGTCCAAGCAAACAACATGGACCTTCTAGAATTGCCGTGGGGTTGACTGCTACTTTTGGTTATGTCTTCTATAAAAAAAAAAGCAAGTAGAAGAAAATAAGTGGAGAAAACAAAGAAGATGAAAGATGTCGAAAATTCATGAGAATCATACAAGGTAAGCATAAAATTGATCTTAGTTTTCCTTATTAATATGAATTGTTTATTTCTTTGCTATGACATTTCTCTATAAATACATTTTACCTTGTTTTTCAAAATATATTTCTGTAAAGCTAATTAACGCGATTTTATGTAATTTTTCACACACAATTGCTAGGATTGTCAATTTCCTTCCGTTAAACATAGTCAATTATTAATTCTCTAACCAGTGAAAATTCTTGATATATCCTCCGTTTACTGCATTCAATTCATGCACTATGTGCATATTTGATATAGGTTAACTTTCAAGATTTTTTTTTTTTAATTTTGACTTTATTTACCTATACAAAAACACTGTATGTGCATGGAAATGAAACAAGCCCTTTTATACATCAATTATACTTACAAGAAGCACACAATTTTCTGATTTTATAAAGAAAAAGATATTCAAAGTTCTTGATTACTTAAGAAATAATGAATTTTCACTTAATTACTTTGCAATGAGCTGCCAATTGTTTTTTCAATTGTTTGATTCAAGGAATGCATTTAAAAATTTTTTTCTCCATTTATTTATGAGGTTCTTTGATTTACTGTATAGACATTTTTTACAATTTAGTGAATGGTTAATTCCTCTTTTACTA